AAAGAGTTTTTTTCTTATGTGCAGATGGAATTTCTTCTGCAGGAATTATTGCTTGTTGGCCCTTGTCCTGTCATGATACATCCCTGTGAAGGCAGTTCTTCTGTCTCTGTAACTACCTTAATAAACTATACTAAATAGCAGTATCAGAGAGAACACTCACACCAAAGGGTACAGTGTTAGGAAAGAAGAGCTTACGTTCTGTACGTTTACAGCTTCACATTAAAGTTAAGATAGATGAAATACGATCAATTTTACACCAGTTCAGCATAGCTGTGTTAACACTGGCATGTTGCCAGTGCCACCTACTGTCCCGTATTTGAGCTAATTTTGAGAACATATAATATCGGCATGTGTTTCAAATGCTTTTCTGTTATGTGAGAGAAAATATTTTTATTTAATTTTTTTCTGAAGTCTTTTTAAGATTTTGGGGTTAAATAATAAACAATATTTACTTTTCCCATATGGTGCTACAGCCTGAATTAAACCTAGATTCCTGTAGTTGCTCTATTGTATTTTATTTGCTCAAGGAATGGTCAGATTGAGACTTCACTTAAGGAACTATACAGTGAAACAGTGCATTTAGCAGAAGATCTAAAATTCTTGCAAAATCTTATTAATTCAGATATTTAGCTGGTAATTTGATTGGAGATAACTTTCAGTACATTTGGATCACTGTAAGTGATTCTCTAATTCTATATTTGTGACTGAGTAACAAAAATGTTAATTCCCTGTCATCAAACAGCAGATCTTTGTCAGGCTGAATTTCATCATTTGCCCAGAATTACTCTAAACAAAGGGCAGCAAATGCTCTCAAGCAATCAGTATAGCAGATAACTGGTAGTCATTTTCGGTACAGATTTTTCTTTTGTGACAGGTAGTGTAGATGTTCTGGGAATATTTTTCAGTGTCTATACTTCTTTCTAAACTTAAAACTCCTTAAATTCAGTGATAGATTAATGCAGATCCTTCTGTAGAGTTTTATTTTTGTATAAAAGCAAAAGCTATTAGAAAGAAGCTATGTAAATGTATGTTATCAGACATTTTATCCTTTTGAGCATTTTTACTAGTTATTACATAATTTATCTTGCTGTGCATAGCTTTACTATGGAAAACAATAAAACTAGGTAAAGTGTGATCAAAATTCTGTAGCCCGTTATCAGTATGGGTCAGTGTTTCTGTCATCAAGAGAATTCCCAGTACTTTGTGTTGAAGAGACAAAAATATACAGTTGTGAAAAAGTACTATGCAAATATCTTTTTGATCAATAAACATAGTTTTATTATTTGAAAGTTGGAGTAAAATAGATGGGGTGAAATAGATGGAGTAAAAGCATTAAAATAGATTTCAATGCTTTTTTTAATATTTTACTTTAGTGTGAATGAAGTCTATTACCTACAGAACTGTACAAGCTGAATTGCTAGTCATTTGCTAATGATTTACTAGGAGTTTATGCCATCCTCTAAAAGGGCTCCCGTTTTTCTTTTCATGTTTAAAAGTGCTCTTGATGTCTTAAACCATTTGCATAGTATGTAGAGAAAAGCCAGATTTTTAATTTTTCCATCAAACCACTGAGAAGTTACTACTTCTGTTTGTACACAGTTCTAAATGATGAAATCTAAGTGTATTTTAGGACATTAAAAAGTTAAATCAAGAAAGTTAAAAGTCTAGTGCCTGTCCATTGTTATTTTGTGTAAACTAATAGCATGATTTTGGTTTCACAGCATGTAATGTATCACTCTTGCTCTCATTCCAGTGCATCATTCCTATTAGTGGAATGTTGTTGTTTATTTTTGCATGCTGTTGTTAGATTTTGCAAACTCAGCATCCCAGGACTCTGCTTCTCAGCTGTCTTTCTCTCTCTCTCCTTTTAGTTGTGATAATGATAAGTAAGATAAGAGTCTTTTGGACTCAGTAATCAAATAAGAGTTCTGATATCTTCAAGTTTTCCACAGGCTGATTAGAATGTGAAAATAAAGGGTATAACCTGCTGGCTTATGCTGCTTAGACATGTCCAATGTTGAGATTACTAAATTAGTTTAAAAGGTGCTGGAGCAGTTTAGAGTCATGGAGATACACAGGTAAAGAGCATAAATAAGTGTAATTTCTCTAGGAAATCAACCTAAATATCTAGTTTATTTTATCTTTCTGGGTTCCATGCTTTCTATTTCCTCCTACAACTTGAGTTTTAGAGTTGCTGTGAAGGTAGAACTTAGAAATACAGACAATTTTATCTCTGGGAATGTTCCAGGATAGAAACAATATATTCTTATGTTGATGTTTTTCAAGGCCATTGGCATGCTAAACTAACAATTTCAGTATAAGGAATTTAAATAAGAACTTAATTGGTTCTTATTCTATAGGGGTGCTGTGATATACATGATGTTCGGAAATTTGTTTTGTAAGAAAAGACCTTGGAATTGTATATGTTTATAATCCGTTTGTACTTATATGACTACCATTTTTCACTTAGCAGTGGCTAAATGTGTTCTGTACTGCACTTGCTGAAACCTTTGTCTCTAAGACTCATAATTCTTACTCTGAAGCCAGTTTCATGGAAGTTGTTCCAAGAAATTCTCTCCTGAAAAGTGAGAATTTCATGAAGAAAAAAAAATATAATTAGGTAGTTATAGAGGAAATTGTTATTTATGTGGTGCAATTTAAAATAATAAATGTATGAAGTAAGAGTTTTTTCCGATTGTCACACTTCAATTGTCATGGTCTTCAATTTTTACATTCGTCATCAGCTTTCCAAATTTATTTTTGCTTCTTAAGGCAATAGTTTGTTTGTTTCCCATCCAAACACAGATTGGACAGAGATGTCCCTGCATTAGTCCTTCCGCTTGGTAATTACACTTTTGAGTAGTGGCCTATTGCATGCTAGTGACTACTAGGCTATTTATTCTAGTCCTTCACAGTAGAAACCTTCAAAGTTTCTGACCTTTTTATTTCCTTCTGTGTTAATTTAAGTAGATCAACATTGTCAGTGAAGTTTGAATGTTACCTCATTGACTCTCTTAGCATTGCTTAAAATGTCCTTTGTAATCTGGGCACAAAAAGCTGCCTAATGACAGTTTACTCCTAAGGGGTTTTGTCAACCAGGAGCATTGTACTCTGCTCTTTGCTAAGAGTTCCTCACTTGTACAATATTATTCCACCCTGTTCTGATAAAAGCGCCAGATATTTTGGTCTCGATTCTCTTGTAACGGGTCATTATTACTACCTCTGACAGTGATTGTGCAAAATGTAGGTACAAACTGCAAGTTCACAAGTGCTAGTGTTTAAAAAAAGTCTCATGTTTTAGGAGTGGAAAGTGTTTTGTTCCCTGTGGCCACTAGATGTCACGGCTGCACTGTCTCTGTTGCTGTACAGCTTGCTGAAAAGCTGCCCTAAGGTGAGAGATAAATTGAACACCACTAAGTGCGTTGTAAAGTCATCAATAATCGGAAACCAGGCCACTATGCCTTTCTTTTAAGTCACCGATTGTAATTTTCAACCCATTTCACCTTTTAAATCAAGGTAAATCTCAATGGGACAAGCACATTTGTGTTGAAGTGTGACTATGCATCAGTTAAATCAGAAGGAAATACTGTTAACGATTTTATTTTGGATCCTCAAGCAGCAAATATGCTATTATACTCAAAGAATTTAAAAGGTAACTCTTTTTTTGACCTTTTTGATTAAATATGGGATGGAATATTTGAGTGTGAAACCACACTTAGGAAATGCTGCTTCTTATCTTGTATATTACATTATTGTTGGCTTACTTTTTGAGCTCGGAGTATGTGAAAGTGGTACCGAACTGGGGACTTGCAAACATTTGCAAGCTTGGTGTGGGATATGTTGCACCATGAGGAGACCCTCTCGGGCTGAAGTCTGAAATGACTGGTTGTTTCGCAGAGTTGTATTTCTTTCAGCCAGCAAGGAATGAGGGTGATCTGGACTTTTACTGTCCCCAGTGATGTTTCTGTAAGTCCTGTCTGAAGTCTGGCAGGTGAGTTTTCTAAAAGGCTCAAGTGCTGATGAGCCATATGCTGTTTCCATGTGTACGGAGGGCAAAGGCAAGCTCCTGCTAGAAGCAGCTGTGTCTTACCCTCTTTACACTAGCTCCTTGCCATCTGGGAAGCAGATTCACCCTCGGTGATAACGGGAGCTATTTTACCAGTATCGTTTCGCAGCATTGCCAGCAGAGGGGGAAACGTGAATGCCTTGTGAGACTTGATAGCTGGAGCTGCTAAAAAAGTGCACATCTCTCTTCTTGACAGTGCTGGCTACTTTTATGCTGTGCCAGCTCCCACTGCTTTGCAGGACGTTAGCAAAAGCCTTTCCTTGCTACAGCCCTGCTTTTTCTTTTGCCTATAGGTTGTTAAAAGCCCAGGAGAAGTCAGGAGTAACTCTAACCTGTTCTGTGTGAGAGGTGTGAAATAAATGATTTTTTTTCATGCAGGTATACAAATTTACCATTATCTAAAATGTAATTTCTGCAACATCTCAGTCTCTCCAGATGACAAGTGACTACCAATTGAGGGACAGGGAAACTTTGTAGCTGATTATGGACCCTGTTTAAAGACATTAATTTCCCCTCCTGTTTTCCCTTTTCTGTGCTGTCATTTTCACATATGCATATTAATGCTTAAGCATTTCTGGATGATCAGGATAGTATGCTGCTGAGTGCATGGATTAAGGCTGGGGAAGTGATTTTTAAATTTTATTTTATTTTATTTTCCCCTTTCTCCAGCACACATGCAGAGACACACACAAAAAATATCTTGGAAGTTAGAAGTGAGGAGCCCTCCCGAGTAGCATGTCTCTTGAATGAGGTTATTCCCTCTCCAGTTGAACCAGAACAGACTTAGAACCTACTCCTCCCAAACCAAATTGAATAAAACAAAATATGGCATGAATTCTTTGCTGAGAACCACCAAAGGAATATCGAACTTAACTGCATTTATATGAAAAGGAGGTGCTGTGTGGTTTAATGGACATTCTTCTCACTTTCCCAGTGACTGAACAATACCCTGAGATCGCTCATAGAAATGTCTTCAAGTCATGTAAATGTTTTTTAAATAAATGAAAACAAAATAACAGTAGGCAGTGAAAGAATTAGCAGACTCACTAACATCTTTCTCTCTTGGTTGCTTGTTACTGACTCTTCTCACAGAAAACACTGAGCATGCTGGTGTTTCAGACACTGTAGCTATTTTAAGAGGGGATACTTGCTAGAATAAAAATTTATCAGTGATCTCATTACCTTTTTTAAGTCTCACAATCTTGAGTTGTGTGCTTGAAACTTGAAGATCTCTTTGGCTACTATTATTTACAAATATCTAAAAAGCTGAAGTAAGTTAATATTAAACCAGATTGGGGACATGTGGCTAAATTCTGTGACTGCATAAAATTTTCCACTAATTCTAAGGGTGACTCTTTCATGGTTGACTTGTATTTTAAGGTCAGGTCCTTTTGGCAATCAAATCCATGGTAGAAGGGTCAGGACTGTAAGTTAAGAGAACCATTGTTAACAAAATAAATGTTACTATTGTCATTATGTGCTGAAGTCTGCGTATGGCATATGGAGGCTTCATTTTCAGTGATGTATAATGAAGTGAGGAAGAGATTTTTACTGTACCTGCCCTGCTTTGAGATCTTAATGACTATTCATTTTTAAACTCTTTCTCAGGATATGGAAGCAAAATGAGTGAATGTCAGTAAATGCACTGATGTGTCAGAATTTTGGATTTTATTCATACTTAAAGACTTACATTGAGGGGGCTTTGTTTCACATTATGTGTTTTTTGTTTCCTTGGCCATGTTTTAAAAAGTTATGTGCATGCATAATCATATGCAGCACTTTATTGCTTCTTTTTGGCAATGCACAAGAGCAAAAATTTAATTTGCTATTTTCCAAAAGTGCATTGTGTTTATGTAATGGATTTGCATCAGTTGCAGTCTGTAATACAGTTAAGTGTTTTAATTGGCAGAACACCCACATCAAGACTTGTTTGTTTTTCTGTTAAGGAAAATGCCAGCTAAGTTAGTCCATATGTTCTGTTCAAATAAGAAGCGACATATTCACATGTAATGGCCATTCTTTAAAAATAAAATTAAAAAGTAACACAAAAGTAATATGGAAGAGGGGCAAGTTTATGCATAATTATGAATTTTTGTTAATTTTCAGAGATAGCATATATTTTGCTAAGGAAAGCTGGTCAGCTTGCATTCTGAGTGCTTGTGGTTTATGACTGTATCTGTTGATGACCTGAGTAATGTTAAAATGAAGGTGTACGTTGTTTACTATTTTTTTCTCAGAAGGATTTACATCGTCTTTATTGTCTAGTGAATAATTGTCAACTTTCAGAAGACTTGAAACTCACATACTATATTGTAGTTCAACAATACTTTAAAAATGTGTGGAATGTGGTAGTAAGATGGAAAGAAAAATAGAAGTTACAGAGCTCCATGTAATGAAATATATCCCTCTCAGCTGCCAGTCATGAAGGAGCTTGACAGGCTTCTAGTGCTCCACAGCTGCAGAATCTATTTCTGCTTCTTCAGGGGAAACTGTAAAACTTCCACACTCTTTGCCAGCCAGAGAATCCCACATTAGGCATCTACTCTGCTCTTTCTGCAGAAAGGGGACCTTGACATTGCCCAGCTGTCAGAGATGGCATTTGAACTCTTGCTGATAGTTTCGGGGCAGCTCTGCTTAGGCTCTGATCCTCTTATCTCATTTGAGAAAAAAATATTCCAGCTCTCTTGAGTTCCTTTTGTTTCTAAGTAATTTGTAGGAATTATTCAAAGTAGTGTTCTGGCTAGGACCTGGCTTTGAACCAAACATTCTTAATTTCTTGGAGTGCTGATTTTCCTCCAGGATTATTTTTTTTTTCCCCACAAGGATGAAGTCTTTATCATCTTTGACTTGTCCTTAACAGCTAAGTCTTAGAATAGAGCAACACTGATTTTTAAAAACTTAACTCATGCAGTATACGCTAATATAGGACAAAACTGAATTTTTATTAAAATTTATGTCCACTGACTTACTTTGACAGTACTTATCAGTGAAAACCATCACATTATTGAAGATCTAATCAGGAATATTGTATATACATGATGACAAGTAATAGGAACAGTTTCATGTGAGAAACCAGAAACTAGATGAGAATCAGCTGTTGATGTGGCTTCTGAGAACCTGAGGTTGATGTGTCTTTCTTTAGGTATGTGGCAACTTCTTTTTAGTAATGAAATGATGAAGAAGACTATAGCATAATACACAATGAAGAAGCAAACTACTGCAGCCCATTTTCAGCTGATAACCATTAACTATCTTTGTTCCGTTGGCTATTATATTTGGTAAAAAAAATAAATAAACCCAAATTAATTATTTTTTTTTAATCAAAACCTCTCATGATTGCAAAAATGAAAAATCTGGTGGCCACACTTGCCAAGAAACTTAGAATTTACAGAATTAATTTAGCATCTGTACCAAGCGCACATAGTTTTATAACACTTCTAATAACAATGAGGTCTCAGAGTGATTCCATTAGGAAGAGGAGAATCGTGCAACTGGAAGCTTGATTTTGTAAACATAAATGATTTGATAATATTTCAATAAGTTACAGTAGGCCTCTGAGTTGTAAGTGCCAATCGGTTATCAGTCTAATCATGCAAGATTTGAATATACTGCTACAGTTAACTGAAAAATGTGGACTTAAATATAAGGAATTCAGTTTTTGGAGGAGAAATCCAGGATGTAAATCTCATCCTCAAATACTTGCTTTTTAGTAGACTGTCTGTAATAGATTAATATAAATTAAAGCTAGCAATAGATGTTATTGTGGTGTGGTTAGATTTCCCACTTCACATATATTGATATGCATCCCTGATTCTAAGGGTCATGAAGAATATCTCTGTAGTTTGAAAAAATCCTTTCTATCATTCTTTTTGGGAAGTTTTACCTTCTAACCTACAGCACATCTATTCAAATTTTAGGTAGTTTTAATACTAGTTGTAGTTTAATATCAGCCTAGATTTATTGCTAACATTGTGTTGCAGTGGTGACAGCAGCCTGGTGTTATTTCTGAGTCGTTTTTGAAACACATGGATGTCCGTGAGCTTCTGAGGAATTTTTTATTATATCATTGCCTGTGTATTTAGAATGATTGTACTGTGATCTGGTGCAGAGTATTAAACGAAGTAACAGCTTGTCTTTTACATTCTTGAGTCAATTTTCAATTTTTATTGGCACTTATATATTACATTGTTTATTTTATTAAGTGAAATCTGTTTCTTTTATGTCCTATGCAGAATGTGAAAGATGATGGGCAGCATGTATGGAGACTGAAACACTTTAACAAGCCTGCCTACTGTAATCTTTGTTTGAACATGCTGATCGGAGTCGGCAAGCAAGGTCTCTGCTGTTCTTGTGAGTATAAGCATTTCAGTGTGCATTTGCATACATGCCTATTCGTAGAGATGTTACACTTTCTGCATAGCAAAGAACTAGTAGCATCCCAGTATGAAACCATTGCCATCACAATGGTGTCTCCCCCTTTGTCTTGAATGCTTGAATACTCGTGTCTCATTTTTAATTTTTCAGGATATTAGGCTTTCAAAGCTGTTGTTTGAGGGAGTTTTCTGTATTATAAAGCTCTCCGAGTTAGTTCTCCTTGGAGCCTGCCTCTTTCTTTTTCTTTTTTTTTCTTTTCTCTTAGCAAGTATTATGCTTTAGTTTCAACCTTCTATTTTTGTTATTTCTCTTTTGTATTGTTTAATAATTACTCATATTCTTTAGTAGGTATCAACTTGACTAGCATCTAAGTCCCATATTTGTTTATTCAAATTTTGCGTAGAATTCTTTTGTTAATTGTGAATGTCAAAAATCCCAGTTTTCCAGAAATCAAGTTTCTGTGACACTTCTAAAGTTCTCTATGTTTACTTGGTTTGTAATCATGAATCTCAGTCTTGCCATTCTTTCACATGTTGACTGATTACAGATTTTAAAGTAAAAAAAACCTACTGCATCTGGTTGACCTTCATGAGGCAATTAGATACAGTTCCTACAGTTTAATTCCTTGAGTTATATCTATGTATCTCCTAATAGTCTGTGTTTGACCAGCTCATAACCTGTATCTTGAGAAACCAAATCTTGCCGAAAGATACCTCGTCTCTGAATATTTCAAGAGATGGATGATGCATATCTTTCTTTTGTGGTGTGTTCCAGTGATGAATCATCTTTTTTTAACAAAGACCTATTTTCTGATTTGAATATGTCTGGTAGACGGTTCCAATGATTGGTTCATGTTATGCCCTGCTCCATTAGATTAATGAGATCTTTAGTACCTACGGTATTCTTCTTATGCTGGTATCAAGTCACCTTTCATTGTTCTTTTTGATAAATTAATCAGTTTCTTAGTGTAACTTACTTTTTCGATTTTTGGTATGAAAGATGACCCATCAGAGCTGACCAAGACTTTTCTGCCTGTACAGTTCTATTGATTTAATTTGAGATTAGTCTGAATGAATGAGGATTTTGGAATTGGCCATTTCTCTCCTTTGTGGGCCACAGATCTCTTTAAAATGTAATTCAGATGTAAATGCTCCATGTATGGATTTTCATATCGTTCACTTCATGTATAATTTCATTCACAATACTATGGAATGCAGGAGATAAATTCACTAAAATTCAAACAAATAGAAGTTACATAACTTAAGATTAATCAATACTGATGACTAACTGAAATATATATATATAAAGTGCTGAATTGACTAATAGATCTTCAAATGTTACATTTTTTTAATGTTCTTTTATGTCAGATGGAAGTAAACTTAATCCTTGTGAGGAAATGTAAGACTCATATATGTTTGAAAGAGAAAATTCTATTGAGCAAATAATGTAGATCATCTTCTTCAGTAGTTACCAGAAATGCATAGATGAGTTATATAAAGTAAACTGCCCCCAAAAGACCAGCCTTACAAGAGCAGTAATTTTCTCTGCTACGATGTACCTCTTTAAAATTTGTTTGTTATTGTGCTTGGCATTTATTTGGTCAGAACAATGGTCCCAGAGTGTCTGAAGAACATCCACGTGCTCCTTTCGGTTACTTCATGCAGCAAGGGGCATGAGTCTATTTACAAAACTATTACACTGTTTCTTTATCTTGCTAAGCTGCTTCTCAGATATATTTTCAAAGCATTGCTATAGATTTCATTATTTGCATTTTAGATTGTGTGGGAGGAAAAAAAAAAAAAAGGAAACTGCAGGGGTCCTCACCATCCCTCCATGGTCCAATCAACAATGTTACTCCCTGCAGTTTGTCTGATTAATGGCTGCGCCTCCCACTGGGTTTGTGTAATAGGTGCAAGCAAGGTGTTTAGAAGTACTTTGTGCTTAATTGCTCTCGAGGTCAAAAGCGTGAGACATATACCATGCAGGGAGAAATTCATTCTCAGTTTTTAATAGTTTACTCTATTGAATACAGGTATAAGCCATAGCATTATTTCCTCATCTAGGCACAGTTGTATAGATGAAGTCAGGAGACCTTTGCGTTGTACCCTGACATTTGTATATTTTCTGAATGTAGCTGGTGTGATCTTTACAGACCTGGTCAACAATAGTAGTTTCCTAACACTGGTGTGGAGAGATTAGGGGGGAAAAAAAAAGTCTTCTCAGGAGGTGATATTTGGGAAAGTAAGAGTTAAAGTTGGTGATTATATGGAATGCATGAAAACAATTGCTATCTGAAAATGGACTAATCAGCCATTTAAGATGTATAAATCAATAGAAGGAACAACATAAACTCATTGGCTTTTATTTTTGTGCTTGCCAGATGCTCTCATGCCTACAGTTTGTAAAATATAGATTTCTTTTTACTAGCAAATGACACCGAACCATTTGGCAGTCATCAATTTGTCTTTAATATTTTTGTCATTTGGGAATTTTTGTGAAAAAATTTAGTGAGCTCTGATTTAATTAAGCATTTCCTGTTATGCAATGATAGTGCATTCTTGGATTTCTCACTTGCATAATATTTCCTGTTCTAATTGGCCTTTTGTATTCCATGGAAAAAGCAGTCTAGTTTGAGTTTTCGTTGACTGATTGGATTGATTATATAGAGATGACATGCTGGTAATGTTATTTGTTTCATTAAAATGTAGTCAGAAACTCCGTTGTCTCAACATCTATTAATATGTTTCTTTTTTCAGTTTGCAAGTATACAGTCCATGAACGTTGTGTCTCAAGAGCTCCCGCATCTTGCATCAAAACATATGTGAAGTCCAAAAAGAATACTGATGTAAGTTTGGGATTGCATTAAGTTTGGCATGTACCTGTTAATTTAGTAACCTTATGTATATCCACGCTTTTCTTTTGTAGGTAATGCACCATTTCTGGGTGGAAGGAAATTGTCCAACAAAATGTGATAAGTGTCACAAAACTATAAAATGTTACCAAGGCTTGACAGGACTTCACTGTGTTTGGTGTCAGATCACAGTGAGTATACTATATACTCGAGACAATGTAAAAATTGAAAAAATACATGCCATTCTAAAGAGCAGAATTCCCGATCTGCATTACAGAAAGATTATGAGAGTTTTCAGTACCAGGAAAAATCAAGGTCACTGTGACACTAGGGCAAAATCCTAATTTGTGATGTACTGACAGGCAAATGAAATTGAGGACATCTGGTAGGATACAGTGATTTCAAGTGTCTGGGAATAATAGCAGAGACATCTTGATAATATACTAATCTGTGCACTGAGTCTAATACGTACAACTTTTGTGCACTTAGCAGGAACCAGTAACTGGAACTAATGACATTCAAGGAACACTGCCCTTATAAGTGAGATCTTCATGCTAGAAGGAGCAATACCAGTATTTCTGTTCCTAGCCAGGGCAGGATTTAAATCTGAATGCAGAGAGATTCAACCTTCTTCTAGGGTTTTTCCTTTTTTGCTGATATCATTATTATTATTGTTATGGAACAGCAGTTGTTTGTTCAGTGTTTTAAGTAATAACATGAGACTGAGGCATTAGCGAATGTTTGTTTTCATCATGCAAGTTTGGATGTTTTATGACATATTTTCTTAACACAAGAATACAAAATATGAAACATTATCAAAGAAAATAGATCCAGGACACTTTCAGTGATAAGCTGTTATGATTACTTAAAAACCAATATTTTAGAAGAAAGCAAATATGTAGTCCAGATTGCTGTCAAAATTTGGATAATTTATGTAGAGAATAAAACACCCAATCCAAAATTTTTGCATGCAGATAATTAAATTTAGGCAATAGCTATCTGTGTTTAGGTAGATAAATAAGAGTGTTTCTGCTCTAGATATACATGTGTTTACGTTCAGATAATATGTCTGTATCGTTCAAAAAATGTGTATTATATAAGGCTCCTTCCTGAACTCAAAGGAAGTTGCAAATTCTGTAGCTCCTCTGAAAAATTGTTTTCCCATTTTTTCATTTCAATTGGGACCACATTTGTAAAGGCCTTTTACTTCTTGAAGATACGCATAAAGGTTTAGGAGAGTTCCAAAAGAACTGAAATTCATTGAGAAAATACCGAGAAATGATTTATCATTGAAATCACTGGCAAGGAAGAGTCTAAATTCTTTTGAAAATATCTTAAGTGCTTGTGTCGATATTTAAAAGCTTAAATATCTATCAAAATTCCAATTAAAAATGGGCCTATGTTCTTTTGAAAATGTTGACACTGAGGTTTTCAATTTTGTGATTGTATTTCCATCAGTAATTTAAAGATTTTTATAATCTGTAGAAGTGATGTTGTGTTTTCTAAATAACATTATTAATCCTTTTATTTAATTTTTATGATTCGGGTATAAATTAGACATATAAGTGAAAAATGAGTATTTTTAGTTTTAAAAGTAGTACAAATAATTTGGTTTTCAGTATTCTATTCACTTGTCTTACAATTCTATGTATTCTCTATATTCTATTGAAATAATTTTCTTTGCTAATAGTAATGGCTTTATTACTGAAAAAAGTGTTTTAAATTTCTGACAGATGCATGATTTTTGAATGAATATTCTGAAGTTATATAATTATCATCACATCCTTCATACATTTTCAACTCTTTGTACAACACCACATTTAGAGCTTGTTGCTGACATATTTTCATAATGTAAGAGGATGCTAGTTATTACGCAACTAATTCTGAATCTCTTTCATGCATTTTAAATCTCTCTCCTTCTTACAGCTTAATAGGGTCACTTGTAATGCCAAATCACAGAATCAAATCTGGAAAATTAGAGGTGTTTTTCACAAAGGAGGCTTGTTATACTGAATTCTTAGCCAGGCCCATGATTTCTTCTTCCATGTACTCTGTAGTTCTCTACCATGGTCTTGTAAATGTGTGTTTCCTTGTTTTCTCTCCAGCAAATATGATTTTTCAGGCATCTAGTTGTGAGGGAGGTAGCACTCTAAAGGAGCTAGGTTTGGGGTAATAGAATTTTGAGGAAACGTATTTAAAATCTGCTAAAATATTTTTTTGAGGAGAGATGCATGTTATTTTATTTAATGTGTGTCAAAGTGTTATTTTTGTTATAGCTACATACCTTCTACCATTTCTGTTGTCTGCTATGCACCAATTCTGTTGTCAAAGATCAGCAGAGACTAATAAGATTAAGCTATTTTTTTCATAGATAAGTTTGCATGCCACTGAGTAGCAAAGCTGCTAATTACCACTGAATGTGTGAAGATACTTTTATTTGATCTAACACGGCCTGGTGTGCATTAATTATGGTACAAGTAGCCTTACTACTGAGGCAGAGAATTAGCATGACAAATGATTTAGATTACAGGGCTAGCAAAATACCCTCACAATAAGGCTTTAATACTCAGAGTAAATCGAAACTCATTAGACTTTATTTTCTGTTGCTAAGTAACTGCCTGAAAAGGTAACTTTGCAGTATAAATGAATATGGACAAGGCTAATATTAGGTGCCATTCAGTTCAAAATTCAGAAATGTTATGTCAACATTAACTCTACCAGATAACTTTATGAAGACCATGTTACCGATAAAGCTCATCTACATCAGCAACTGATACAATTTTATTGTAATTTTAATAGTGTTCATACTGACATAGTTAATTCGTCTAAAGGGAAAATTAATCAGTCCCTGGAAAAATGTCATTTATAGGTGCAGACATTGAACTACAGATTTTATAACAGCTATTGAACCTGTTGAACTAATGCTGTAAGCTACCTATTAAACTAGTTAAATCACTTGTTAAAAAAGATTTTTACTTCAAAATTTCTAATATTTATTATCCTGATTATTTTTCTTTAATGCAAATGCAGGTATCTTCTCAAAAAATAAAATATTAATCTCTATGGGAAATGCAGGTGTTACCTGAAGAACTTAATGCAGAGTTTACTGAATTGTTGCGGAAATAATAAGCTTTCACCAAATATCACTATATGAAGCTGTGTTTTATTGTGGATACCTCTTATAATATTGTAAAGTATACCAATTAAATGTGAATGCTTTGTATGATCCAGGTACACAACTGTGCCTTCATACTCTGTGTTTGGATATACATGTTGAAGTATTCTATTGAGAGACATTTGAATTGAGTTAAATCCTAAAATAGCAACAAGAACTCTTGATTGTTAATGCAAAATATTTCAATAAATATGTCATTATTTGTTGGCATTTTATGTCGATGTTATATACACATTTTTCTCTTCCACCTTTTTACCAACATGGAAGTAAACCAATGCTATTTCAGTCAGCAGAGCTGAGGATATTCTTTCCTTGTTTTCAGAGTAGAACTCTTCTCATTGCTTTCAGGAAAACTGGATGAATGCTAAGAATGAAGTAGAAAAAGGAGAGTAATTCAGGTTCCTCAGCAGTCAATGGAAGCCTGAACAGTGATTTAGTCAAGACCAAAATTTCCCCAATATAGCCTAAAACTCTTAGATATTCTTATATTATTCTTTTATATTTCATATATGTTTTCATAGGTATTGCAGCATCACAATTGAATTGGTAGTGACTTTATCAGCTTCAAGCAGCAAGCAGAGATATAACAGTAATGCCAAAGGATGCCCTGAATTACCCTAGATTGCTCACTATTAGTAGAACAGAAATTCCTGGTTCAGTGCAAGAAACTGTCTTCTGAAATGAAGGTTTTGATCACCGATAACACTATGCTGATGTTACTGTACTGCCATGAATGTTCTCATTTTGTGTGCTGGACCACAGGTGCAATTTCCAAGCTGAAAAATATTTTGATCCACTGCTTCAATATAAATTCATTGATTTTGTCAGTCCTAAGAGACCTTCCACTGCAATGTGTTTCATTTTCCTTGTGGTACTCTAGTAATAGTTAGATTAATTTAGCGTATCTAAACTCACTACATTCTAGGATGCCCATTTGCTTAGACTGTAGTAGTAAAATGTCTAAGTTGGATCTTCATTTTCTGTCTTCCCATAGTTGCATAACAAATGTGCTTCACATCTAAAACCTGAATGTGACTGTGGACCTTTGAAGGACCATATTTTACCACCCACATCAATCTGCCCAGTAGTATTGGTGAGTTGTCTGTATGTTTATTTCAGATGTGATCCTCTGTTGTAGGAAATGGCTAAAATGATGTTGGTACTGACTGCCAGAGTATTTGTTAAATTCACAGAACTCTATGAACCTTAAATACAGTGGGTAATCCTGGCTGATGAGTTTATAGGCATAAGCACGCTTTGTCCTCTGCATATCGCATTTTCCTTCATGTGAGAATGAACTTTCTGTAGGGCATATTATAACTGAAGCTGACTCAGGTTTTATCACTTACTCAGACTGTACTTACCAGAAACTGTATAGGCAGAACACTTCTACATTTTACATCTTTTATAGATCCAACTTCCCAGAATAATGAAGTTATTCTTATGGACAGTTTTTGCTTGGGATGCATATTGTATATCTGCAATGCTGAGGTCTCTGATCTAAGCCGGAGGTTACCTAGAATGATGACACTGGTCTTGCAGTAAGCTATGCATCAACATTATGGTATATTTTATTCTGCAGTTGTGGACAGTAAATTTCTCTGTCCACAAAAACAATAACTCAATTCAATGAAAATAAAAATGCATGCTATATGTAGGTTGTATAGAAAAGAGCTGACCAGTTTATCATGAAAAAAGAGCTTTGGAATTAACTTATGTGCTCATATATTAAATTGGATGCTTTATGCTGATGAAAGTCATAGCATCATCATATTCATAGCAGAACAGACGTATGGTCCTCTTAAACTATACTTAATAATAATAGTAAGAAATGCTTGAACTTAAGAACGATTGATTGCAGGGAGGAAAACCAAGAAAGTATACCTTCTAATCTTAAACCTATTTCTGATCATTAAGAATAGTATTCATGCCTATTGTAAATTACTTGTTTTCTGATTAATCCTTTTGGCTGTTTGTTTATAAATCTGCTAAGGGATGGATGCTAGACTTTGGCCCTCTACTTGAGTAAACTGGGACTATTCCATTGCTGTCAATGAAGGTAAAGCAATGGAAAGCTGACTTTTAATGTTTATGAAATATTTTTTAATATTTTTGAAAGTCATAAGACTAGTTTTGTAGTTTGCCTTAATAGTATTTTGATATTGCCTGGACAAGTTCTGAATAATATATGTGAAGTATTAGTTTAAGTTTGTTGGATGATTATGTTCTGCATTAGATTATTTAATTTTCAGAATTTTAGATCATACTTTAGAAGATAACATGTAGAAATTATGATTTTTTTATTAGTCTGTTTTTGGTTTACTGTTATTTATTGTTTGCCATTCTTATAAACTGAATAAAGCCTCAGCATGAAATTTCATCTTCAATTATATTTGCGTAACTCCATTTTCTTTTCAGGAGAGGAAGAGGGCTAGAGGAATTAAGATGTTTCATTCCGCAATTGGAGTTTAGTAAAGTTGTTTAGAGGATATATAAAACCACTCTAGAGTCAAATCACCCTTGAATAGGTTTGTTTTATCTGCAAATTCTGAAGGTATAAGCAGAAGTAAATATGTTTTCCTGTATCAGAATCGTGTTTCAGTATTACATACTAATAATGTAACATAAAACAAGTATTTCAGCACAATGTATATTGTTAGGAATGGAAAATATATTTTACTGTAATTTAATGGGAACTTTATAATTTTGTAGTATATTTGTTCATCTAGTAGTTTCTTCCAAAAATGCATTAAAATCCTGAGTATACTTTCGTTACAAATAATACATCAGTGATGTAGCTATTAGGAATTTCTTCTAGAAACAATTGATTACGGTGTACATATTATTTATCTTAGTACTTTTTAAATTAGTTTCTCCTGTTTCCTGTTACGGGGATTCCTTTTAAGAAACATAATACTTCAGTGTATGTGAAACCAGCACCCTCAATAATGACAGCAAAAACAGTGAACGTATCCATGTCAAAATTATCTAAAGATCCAATAGTAAGTGTGTCTGTTAATAGGAACGATCTGTTCAGACATACCAAATCTGATGTACTTGACAGTGGAAGGATCTTTCTCCTAGGACACACTTTTAGCTTCAATGATCAGCTAAGCAATAATATTCTTGCAGTGCTACATATATGTGGAAGATAAAGAAAAGCAGATAACCGCAATGTTTTCTGTACCAGGTTTATCCTTGAGTATTTTGAGGTATCAGAGAAGAAAGTATCTCCTCCTCTCATGGAATAAGTTATAGGAGTTGTGGGAAAATAGCAAGTTGAAAAATCTTGTGTCTTTGATCTCCCAAAAATTTTCACCCTCCCTTCCATCTGTAACTTTGAAAGTCCGGACTTCTTCCTGAAAACTATCAGAATTCATCTCTGACCGAGATGCCTTCTCATAGGTTTTCCTTCAAGAGTACAGGCCCTTCAAGAGTACAAATCCCTTCTCATCTTTTCTCTTTTGTGGAACTAAGGACATTTACATTTTTACCTTTTTCATCCAGCATGTCTCATTTCTTCAGTTCTTGTGAAGCCAGCCTCAACTCTTTCTGCAGAGATAAAGAGAACTTTTTCATAAACTGTATTTCGCAGCACCATGTATTATACCAGAGATATCAAACTGGTCTCTCAGCTGCAGTTTGTTGTTCAGGTCCATATCCTCTCAGTTTTTCCATTTCCTAGGTAGCCATTGATGTCCAAAATCACTGCCACAACTGTGAAGAATGAATAACCTACCCTTCCTGATTGTAATATCACTAAAGATGACATTTCTCTCCCCTGCTAAACATAGCCATCTCAGCTCAGGTGGCTGTTCTAAAATACTCATTCAAAGTCTCTTTAGACACCAGAAAGATTCCTCTAAAATAGTCACTGACATGATCCTCTCAAACTGTCCCTTCTCTTTATGACTGGAGAGAGGACCTAAATGTCTGGTCATCTGAAAGTTAGATGACTGGTCTAAGTTCAATAAGAAGGCTGCCATCTTCAAAACTGCACAAAATGGAACTTGTCGAATGTTATTCCTAAATATGATAAGGTACATTCTCAGCTGAAAAAGAAACCATGGGGAAACTCACGCAGTTGATACTGTGAGTATCATGAAAGAATCACATATCTGTCTAGATCAATGCCATGTAAAGATTTTTTCAGATCTCACTGCAGTGCTTTTAAATGTTTAATAAAATGTAGTCTGTCAACTTTAAAACTAGTCCTTTTTACTTTTCTGTTTACCATATATATGGCTTGTTGTATGGTGAAGTTTTTTGTTCAAGTTAAATGAGTTTTGTTATAAACTGTGTGTGCAGATCTCAAGTGATAGTCTTTTAATAGATGTCAGATACACTTTAATGTTACTCTCTTTTATTTCGGTAACGTTTTAATTAATTCATACTGATTGAATAAATGTACATTGAGACTTGTTTCCTAATGAGGGCACATTTAGAGGAAAGGTTTTGCATCATTCTGATATCCTGTGGGTAATTATATTCTAATTATATGGTGGGGGGAAAAAGTCTATAACTCAGTGCTGATATTGTTCATTGGACCCAATTAATTACATGCACATAATGAAAGTTCATGATAAGGTTGACTGGCAGTGAGTTTAAAAATCTTTAACTCAATTGAATCTTAGCCTAGCAAGAGTACAGAATTAGATCATAACCAGGTTAAAAACTGCCTATTGGAATGAGATGAGTGAGTAGTGAAGAAAAGAGATTGGTCTCTCCTTATGATATAGCTTCTCTCCCCCCACCCCTTCCTAAGGTAGAAAGGGAAAAATGCTAGCATAACATTTCGGCTTCTTCGTTTCACGCCATCCTTTACTTTGCTCCATAGGATGGTCTAATTTGTATTTAAGTTTGTAGAAAAGTAATTAGACTTTTCTCTTTCCCGCCAAAATCAATATAACCTTGGGTAATGGCAAATTAACCAATAAAAGCCTACTATTTAATAAATATATGTTTATTTCGTAATATATTATTTTTGAGTCTCTATTGTTTATGTGAGTTTTACAATGAATATTTTTTTTACTTAATTTCTAACATTGGAATTGAAAACTATAATTAAAACTGTTAATCATGGAACAAAAAAAAATTATGGAATAAATTATAAAACATAAGGTACCCTGATTATAGTGTGAGTGTTACTATATGGCAGTTATCGCTGTCTCCATAGTAACCAGTTTATTTCAAAGAAGGAGGGTCTGGTGTAATAATGAAGACAAGAAATGACAGAAATAAAATTTAAAATTGGATACATTTCCTTGTATTCGATTCAACTTCATTGTTCAGCATTCTTGGACAAATTGGTCGTCGTGATAAAAAGTTTGGAACAATTCCTTTTGTTTCTTTTCTCTTATGAATGAATTCGACTTTTCTTTTGTCTAATGAAGATGCTTATAACTTTTTAGGGCAAAATCATTTAAGCAAAAATTCTATTTATATAAATATAGAATATATAGAGAGAATTCAGTATATTTAAAATATATATAGAATTTGTATACATTGTAAATTTGTATACATCTAATATAAAATAATATCATAAATTCACTTGTCCTTTTTTTAAAATATGAATGGCTATTTATTTTGGTGTATCTGATTTCAGTTGGGTTTGGGTTGCTTTGGAATTTTATTGTACAAGAACATAAATGTTTGAAAATCTTTTGTTTATAACTCGTTCTATTTACTCACATAAAACAATATACACAGCAGATTACAAATGTTTTAGCTAAGCTGTGTGCCTTGGGCAACTAAACAATACACATTATGATCGGTAGTTTCAAATTTTTGTGTAAATATAGCAAATGTATTGAGATGCTGACAAAAAGTAATACAGAATTAAAGTTGAAAAAATTGTGCAATAATTTTCTTTGACTCAATTGGTCAATATTTAGAGAGACTAGATGCAATAGCTAATGGCTGTGTTATAAATGCAGCATAGGTCAATAGATATTTTTTCCATGTCTGATAATAAGTTTTACTAAAACTATTTTCCTGTGAAGTCGGTAAATGTTACTCACATAGGAAAGCAGAGATGTAGAGAGAGGAAAAGGGAATTAGCAGTTGCTGGTTGAAGAATGAGCTTTCTTAATCTCTCTCTAGTTTTTAATCCTAAAATGATTCTTCTGTTTTTATTATAGTAGGGATCAATTTTAACTCAGTTGAATCCAAGCTCAACATGGAGTGCAGAAAGTCAGTGCACTGTGTAAGCATCTTTATGAGCAACTCAATCCTTTGAAGTTGAGTACTAGCCTTATTCTGAGTTTCTGAACAAAGATACTACAAAAAAACAGTTATTTGAATATTTATGCTTCTGGGTGGGAGGAATTTAAATCTGGTTGTTGAGTATTAGGTAATGATATAGCAATTGAAATATTTATAAAAGAAAACAAACACTTCTTTTCCTTTTCAGTTACATATCATATTGCAGATTCAGTTCTCTGAGAATCTAAAACAGACTTGAAATATAATGGTGTGCTTATCTACACTAAGAGCTTTTTCATTTCTTTGAAGTCAGAAGGAAATTAATAATTGCCCTGGAGAAAAATGTATCTTCCTAACTAATTATCTGTTCGGCAAACACAGTTCAATGTTAAAATAATAAGATGCTGATAAACTGAAATGGCAGCCATTCAATCATTTTAAGTTATATCTAGTTGCCTGCCCACAACTCATGACTACTGTCTGTCTCTAAGTTTATTACTTACATCCTCTCCCACTGGAGTTTAACATGTTTTTATTTTCAAAATTCTTTTCCAACTCTTTTCTCTTTCTTGGAAGATGTATATAATTGCCTGCTATAGCCCGAGTTCGTTGCAGGTTGCAAATTAAATTAGAAATCTCAGGCCCTACTGTTGATGCATACATTGAATGGGGTGCAATATGCCAACTAACTGAACTAAGACTGACATGCTAAATAAGAAATACTTGATTGTGATTTTGATGTGTAATTCTTTACATCTTTATTAAGACATATTAAACAAGCAACACAAAATATGCATATATAAAGTTATCATGTAACAATTCCTTGTTCAGAACAATCTTGCATTCAGCTATTTTGGCGAGTATTCTCAGATGATATTGTCTCCATTCTAGCCTTGTCTTTTTCCATGTATTTTGGCTACTAGTATTTTATTTTTTTTTTAACTACAAATATTTCTGTCAAGAAAGCTCTCAGATAAATTAGAAGCCTTACCTTTCTTTTTTAGTATAGACATGTGCAGCTCACTGGACAGGTTTTTTACTGGTGAATTGATCACTGATCTTCTCCATAGGGTTACTCTTAGCTTCAGCCCATGGATGTAGAGCTTGGTATTGTTCTATAGGTCTATGAGCTTTCAAGGCAGTGTGATGTGGCGTTCTCATATTGGCCCTTCTGATTAGTATGTAAACACAGTTAGAGCTGGAAATGTAGAGCAAATTTTATAAAGTAAGTTTTCAAAATATTTTTGCACATCTAAATCATAGTGAATTGGATGTGATATATAATAGATGTTACAAATGGATTGCTTCCCAGCATTTTGGGGTAGTGGTGGTGGGTTTTTTGCAGTTTTCAGGGTGTCTAAATATTTGATTCTCTTTGGTTATTGATTAACTATGGAGAGAAATTGCATGGAATGGAATTTTTTTAAGCAGGGTCTTGAATACCACATAGGTTTAGAAAGTGATAGCCTAGGAGTACCTATTCTGATATTTCACTGCATATTAAAATACAGGTTTTGCATCCTTTGGAGATTCCCATGTTATTAAACAAAATAGCTCTAAGAAATCATGGAGCAACCTTCCTCCAAGTTCCTTAAAAAAACCCAAACCATAAGTTGGGTATTCAAGTCATGTATTTTAAACTTCCATGGCCTCCATCCTGCAAACATTGGAGAATACCTTGACATGGTATTCCATGCATTCCATCTGATCTTCCATGACCAGATGCCTGTGATCAAAAATCTTTCAAGTTCAAGCTTCAGAGTTCTAAAAAAAGATTTTTTTTTTTAATATCTGTTTCAGTTTATGCATATTAATGTAGAATTTAGTTCTCTTCTTATGCACCCCTATTCTAAGTTGGGTTTTAGGGTATATGCCTCATCCGAAAGCATATAGTATAAAAGAAGTAATTATCATACAGAAGGAATCTCAAGATTTCAGTAGAACTTGACAAACTGTGTAATGGTGTTAACCATTCACTGATGACTTTACAGTCCTATTCAATGTATAAATAAATTGTTTAATGTATAATATAAATTATTTAAAATAATCTCAGCTGCATATAAGATTACTTGCTTTGGATGAGGATTCAAAGACGCTAGATACCAAGTGTCTCTTTTTACTATTTGAAAGAATATACTCCCTAGGTTTTCTAATATTTTTAGCTGGTGATAAAATGATCCTATGCATACTTCTGGAATACGAATTATATAATGTGTCTGCCGAAACACTGGGCGAGTATGTTGTGCAACTGCGTAAAAAAATGCCGTGTACATTTGTTGTTAAGTACAACTGCTGCAAGGTAACGTTCCTTATGAGCACTCTCTCCATGCCCCTTGCTGTCCCAGCTGTTCGGTGTTGCAGCCTAACATTCTCTTTTTCCAACAGACGCTACCCACTTTAGGAGGTTTGCTCCCTGAGGTGCGTAACGGGAGGCATCCATGTACACACGAGTACTAACAGATCATAATATTGTACATTCTTCTAGCTATAAAGTGCATTTTGGGGCTGAACTAAAATCTAGACATGGTGTTCTGTGTTGTCATTTGAAAGACCCTGTCTGATTTATGAATTCTTTTTTCTTATTTGGATGAATAAGGGATGGATACAATTGAATAGGTCTGATCTGACAGTGATCTCTCTGGAGCAATACTGAATTGTAGAAGCTCCATTTAATGGATATTGACTTCAAAGTGGGAGTTCAAGGGGAGAAAAAAAGTCATATGAGAGGTGCAAAAATCAGTGGAAAAAATTTTTATTGTAGTAAGTACTATTTTGAAAGGTATGTGCTCTGACACATACCAGAAGAACAGAAAAGCTGGATTCTTTCAGCCATCAAAATGTACGATAGCTTTTAAAATGCTGTATTCAGTATCTCTAGCAACCTTATGCATGTCCACTAAACAAAATGGTTCACAGATACATTTATCATTTTGTATGCTTTAATTAACAAGATATTAAATACAGCACAACTGTTGTAGCAACATTTCTTACCTTGAAAAATAATTTTTTTCATTTTGAAAACCATTTATTCAATGCATGTCAAATTTGTCTTAACATTGCTAGAATTTGTAGGCTATTATCCAGAAGTGATTTTATTAAACTGTTATTGTCTCATAAAATAAGTTGCACTGTTTAGTATCTGACACTCTTGCATAGCTTAGTAGTGTTTTTGAAAGTAAGTTATTCAAACAGTCATGTACGCATGTGCGACTTGATTAGAAAGCCAGCTTTCTGTATCTGTGCAGGAATATTTAAAAGAGGGTGTTTATTTTAATAAAAGGGTAAATCTTTTTGTGTTCCATTAATAGATTTATTGAGTAGAATTAAGATACACATATTATTTAATACAAACTGTAGTTCAGATCCTCTCTAGTATGACACATCTCTAAAAATTAGATGATACCTAACACTCGGAAATCTAAAATCTGTGATCAGCTTCAGAAATGTTTCAGAGAGCACTATTGGTACATGTGGTGACATGTATTGTGGTATCGTATGCATGTAAGATGGGTGATACGAAATACTGTATTTGTACTTTCTTCGGAAATCATCATTGAAGGAAGCAGACCTTCAGTGATAATGAAGTCAAGTATCCATATGTGATTTTACTAATAACACTCTAGACAATTCTGAATCATGAATGCATTTTTTTCTTTATATTCTGTGAGGTGTATCACCTAATCTTGTGTAGTCACTGCTTAGGAGAAGCTGTCTTTGTCTGCGAGTCAGCCAGTTGTTTTGCTTATGGGACAGGTAATGTAAATTGGAGAAGAAATGCTGCTGATGCAGCAGTCATAGGGCCAGGGCCAGCTGAGGGTGTTTGCTGCTATCTGTATTGTGCTGGAACAAAACCAATATCCAAAACTTTACTTGAGCTAATTGTTACTGAATTTTGCTTGTGAGTGATTGATAACAGCAGGTTTGGGACTGTGGTAAGCATCCTTTGTGTAAAGACCATTCTCAGCAGTGTATAAATACTTTTCCTCTAAGTAATAGCATGATGTATGCAAGAAGATCTTTAGTGCCATGCTTTATAAGTAGGCCTCTTTTGAAAAATGTTGGTTTTAACCTCTCTAAATGCACATACTCAGTTTGCTGGATCTGTTCCTTTCTGTTACTTTTTCTTTGAACTATCACAAATATGTTGTTTAGCTTAACATTTTTCTAGACTTTTTAAAATTTGCTCTCTGGCTCTGATCTTTGTTAGAAATCAGGGTTTTTTACTAGCTGTGTTTGCTGCATTACCAACACTGATTTGGTTTTTTGAAGATGTTGCGATATCCAAGAGCCAGATTTGGCTGTAATATAAAATCTTGTTTAACATAGTATGCTTACTTTTTATAAAATGTAATCACTTTTAAGGACAGTTATTCACAAAGTTGTTTAAAACCCCAAAGCTGCTTCTTACATATGTAACAAAGCATGAAGCTTCCTTCATACTGAAGTTGCTGCCCTTGGCACTAATCAATACCATCGTGCATTAATGTTTTGTGTTAGTTCACAAATGTTAATCTGTTTGAATGCCTCTTTAAGTGCAGAGTTGGTGATTTCTCAGGCAGTGGTACAGACAGTTCTTGCCTGTGTTTTGACGGTTAGGGCTGAGATGAATAGCTCTAATTGCTTTTACTGTTTTCTGTTTAAGGCAATGATATTGTAGTCTAGAACCTTGGACCTTCTCTTGAACTGATCAAGTTACTCAAAGCATCCAAGAGCTTAGTTAACTGACCTCTTAGGAATCTCACTGCATATGGAAAATAGTGTAGTCTCCCCTGGTTGTTTTGTGTGGGTTTGGTTTTTTTTTTTTCTGTGGCATAGTTTTTTTCAGTCCTTTTATTAAAAAATTGATCGAATGGCCACAGTTCCTCAAAGCACTTGGCTACCCAAAGCAACCTGCAATGACTTGGACCACTATTTGCATCAGGACTAGCTTGAGGCTGTGTCTGTCTCCAAAATGTAAGGAAACCAAAGATGGTATAAAACCAGTGATGGTCCACATGTGTGTTACAGTAATAATAGGAAGGCACTGTACTAAGCTGGGAGTTATTCCCTTCCTGCCAGAGAATCTGTGTCAATGTTTCTTAGCAGTTTAAACTGCTCCAGAAAGAGTGGCATGGATTAATTGCTAGTGCAATCCCTAAGGCTTTATCAGAAGTACCACAGAGATGGGTTTGGCCTGGTACAGAACGTAAATGGTAACATTTAATGAACTGCTTACTGAGTGCAGTTGCAGGGGCTGCAACAGTGTCCTTCATGCTCCTTTCTAGTGCAGCAGCTTTGTGCCAGCCCTTTCCCCTGATGAGTTTGAAGCCTCCTTGCACTGGTGAAGTGAGGAAAGTGACTGGGGTGCAGTTGGGATTGGGGACACTGATTCTATTTGATAAACATCTGCTGTCTTAATTTATGGTGCATTTTTGGACTACCTAAAAGGACATGCTGGGTACAGTTTATAAATAGGATAAAGGAGATAGAAAGGGCAAGGACATTTTTTTGTTTTCATTCAGAGTTTGCCGAAATGACCTGACAGCAGTTTAAACTATGATTACTGCAACATACGTCTGAGCTTTCCTCTTTCAAATAACCATTTGATTGTGCTGCGTGTCAGCATCAAAAGTTGCCAACGGCTTAGCATCTGATGTAGATTCTGGTTTCATTCTGATACAAAATATATATTTTATAAAAAGCCACTCAGCCAATTGATTATGGTACATTTAGTACAGGTGTATTTTGCCAAAGGGGTAAAGTGCTCTTGAAGCATCCAACCTTTGGTAGCAGTTAGGATGAAATTTTGATAAATTACTGATCTCTTATCAATGTGCTTATTAAATGATCAGGTATTTTGTATGATTTGGTTTCAGGTTTCAGAATGCCATCCTGGCAATGTCAGATTATCTTTTCACATCATTGCATTAATGTGTGTTGTGACTGCAGACTTTTCATCCATCTATTGCCTAGTCATTATGGAATGTCCAAGGCACATAGATAGATGTTATGTGAAGTGGCCAGACATTGTGTAATAACTTGACTGAGATCTCATTTTCATTAAAGCAGAATCTGACATTACTCTCTAGTCAAAAAACAACTTTGCAGAGGCACAGTCTCAGTTACAGTTGTATAGCATTGTATAATGTGTTAAAATGTTCCATTTTCTCCTTTTCTTTTCTTTTTTCAAGGAAAGACAGGCAACAGTGAAAAAAGAAAAGAGTTGCCCTCAGCAAATGAACAAACTGGGAGAACGGAACAAAATGCAAAGAGCAAATTCTGTCACCGTAGATGGACAAGGTCTTCAGGTGTGATTATTGTTATTTTAATTTAAGATGATGCTTGTAGGTATGAAGACAAAGATAGAGTGAGCAACCTTTAAAGTGAAATATTTCCTGTACGTTCACTCTTCTAGTATTTTACTTTTGCATATTTAAAAATACGATAGGTAAATTCTTCCATCTCTACCAGAATCCTGCACTGCAAATCTGCTTCTCACGTCATTGGTAGGATTTCCTAAGACATTAAGGGGGAGGGAAAACTAGCTCTAAAACACTTGCATTGTGGGGTGAACTCAATTGTCTTAGTATCTGTCATGCAGCATTGTGTTAATTTACATTATAAATCTGAGTCTATGTCTTGGTAACTGTTTGCTATTCTCATCTGGACCTGTTAATTAATAGATGTATGGAGTAAGCTTCAAGGATGTTATTTGTCCAGGTATTTCTAAGGAGAGTGTTTGGCACATTAAAATTAAGAGTGTAGAGAAGCAAGATGGTTTCAGTAATAGTAATATCTAGAATAAAAATTGAAGTTTTTTCTACTTGAAAGAAAAACTTGTGTGTGTGATGAGCTAATGTTATTTTAGAGGGGTTACTTAGAGGCATGCCAGAAGTTCTTCCTGAACTGCTTACTTCTTTCCCTTGAGATATGAGTAGTTTTGAGTAAAGTTAATGTTCACATATATGATGCTGCTTCTTTATTTCCGCAGGAGTTAAATGATCATCATACTAACGATGTGATAATTATGTAATATACATAGTTGACTGTTTTCTGTATCTTTTGATGTGTTGCAACTGAGGTTCAGTAAAACGTAAAAGATTCCATTACCATACATCAAATGCTGTATACCTCATAATTATTTCATTATATACCTTATTATGTCAGGATAGAAAGGCTTATTTTATTGTTTTGTCTCTTTAGGTTAGTGAAACGTTCTTGTGATGACAACCCAAAGAAAAGAAAAGAAAAAAAAAAACCACCCAAAAACCAAACTGTAAAAGCTATGCAGTTACATGACTGCCCCATTGATGGCCTAGTAGGATATTACAGTGATCATTATCCATGACATTCAAGGCTTTCTTCCTGTACTTACCATCCTCACAGACTGCATTGCTATCCAGATTGTCTGTGACAGAGCATGAAGCAAAAAGGCTAGAGTGTTCATTGATAGAAAGCTCAAGTTCTGTCTAAACAGTCTCAGTGTGACTACTAAACTGGTGCTAAAGGAAGCATACTGAGTTTTCCAACTTTGGGGTGATATCTGTGCAATTCCAGTGAACCCAACTGCTCTAGATAGAGGAGCATCTATGGCATCTCCTTTAAGTAACAGTGCCATGTATCATTATGAATTCTGGCTCTACCCCAAGTGTTAGATTGCTTATGCTCGTAGTATATTTTCAGGTATTTTTTCAAGTCTCTATTTCCCACTCATGCGAATACAGTGCCTTGTTTGTTCAAAATAGCAGACTCATAGCACCACTGACTCTTGCACACACAACCTTAAATTAGAAAATTTCTGCTTTCAGGTAATTATGGCATAAGACTTTTATACGTTTGTTAGTATGATCTAAAACCTATGTTCTATCTTGTCTTCCCATGATGAATCCTAAGCCTATGATTCATCATTGCTTTTATTTATTATCGCTTGAGAAGGAGACAATGAAAGAATGAGGAATAAGATGGTAGAATAATTATTGAATGGGTTTGAGGTGTTTTCTTGGTTTTCAACACCAAGGTGTTTCTTGGGGTTGTTCTGTAATGCCACAGCTATAAAGGAGTACACTACGTAATACTGACAGTCATAGTGATAACATTAGAAATAATTCTGCAGTGATGACCCTGATTTGCTGATTATACTGTGATTGTTTTTCTCTGTTGGATAAAATTGTGTTCAAGTAACAGGAATCCGTCTTAGCACCACTTATTAAATTTTTAATTGGTATTAATAATAATAACCTGACCATTGTGAAGGCTGAGTGGGTCTCAAAGGATACCGTAGTGAAAGGCTGGAATCAGCAAGACAGTAGGTTTTTTTTGCTCACAGATTGTATAATTTTGGAACTATTTCCACAAATATGTAAGATTCCCTAAATATAACTGGTAATTAATGTTAGTATTTTGCTTAAAGATGATCTGGAGCAAAAAATTTCTGTAGCTGATCAAAGTATACTACTCTTAATTCTCCCATATCTGGCCAAAGCATGTTACTCTGATTCTAATACTTTTGCTGGCGTAGTCTCATTTTAACATGATCTTCAGTGAATAAGAAAAGGATTTTCGTGACTTTTTTTTAACCTTTTTTAGTCAGAAAACTTGATTGTTACGTTAATTGCATTTGTTTCTGATTTAAGTTCCCAAGATAACATATCAGAGATACCCAGCAAATCTATGTACTACTCTTGTTAGACCTCTGTTTTCAATATGGGAGAAGGTATATATGATTGGTCCACTACATTTTTGTTTGTGTTTTTTTTTGTTTTGTTGTTTTGTTTTTTTTTTTCTTTACGTCACTTATCCAATAACTTCATGGAGATTGCCTTTAAATCATGTTAGATTAAGACTTGAAAATGTTCACCAATTTAGTTCTAAATCTTTAGTTGCATTGTTTATAACATGGAAAGATCTACATTATCAAGAAAAGTAATTTGGAAAAGCTGTATTAATTAAGTAATTGACACCTTATTTTGGAATTGAGTGGAATACAAACTCGTTATTAGATTTTTTTGATGATCCTAAATATTCTACTTATAATAATATGGTTAAGTTTTGAAATAAAAAATTTAAAATAGAAATAAGTTCATCAGTTAGCTTTTATTGAGAAAAGTATCAAGACCAAACCTTCTTTCCATCAAACAGCAGTGAGCAGGTAACTTAGTGGCAGTGGAGATCTGCACGGCTTAAAGACAATTAATCATAGTTAAGCACATTCATCTTATTTCTTTCTAGCTAACCAGCATAATGATCAGGATTATTATTTCTAATTAGAGGAAGTAATAGATCATGTATAACCTTAGGATGAGTCTCATTAATTAACCTGCGTCCTAAGGGATTTCTGTAGGTAGTCCATCTCTGTCACAATGAGCACCATTGGTTTACACTTAGTTCACAGGAACAAACATCATGGGAATTAGCTAAATAACTAAAATTGATTAGAACAGTAGATAAAAATTAAATATATGGCAAACTTCACTATATCCTGCAATTTGATATATGTTTCAACATACAGCACTTTACTGTAACAACAAACCGTTCCAGAATGTGATTCTGTGTTGGGTTTATGCTGGGTTTAATTCCACCAAGTTTGCTGGAGTTTTTAATTATTTGTAGTACATATTGAAACAGATTTGGATCCATTGTTTGTGAAGGTATGGATGGAGTTGACACACTAGTCAACACTTCCTACTAGAAGAAAAGTGCTTTTAGATGCCTGTAAGATTATACGCCTATGTCTGTAGGATGCTAGTAATACTCCTTATCTATAATGTTTCTCAGGTTCTGCTCTAAATTACTTTTTCTGAAATCTTCAACTGAAAAGACTTTGTTATTTCAGGAATTATGAATAAGGATTTGGAGCAAGAGCTTTCAATGTATCATTTTGAAACAGACACAGTCTAAGCTTCATCTCTGAAGTTGTTAGTGCATGACTTTGGAGATGTTGACTTTGAACTCTTAATATGCTTTTAAACATTCTAGAATTGGTGTATGTCTAAAAGTGATAATTTTAAATATGAATGGTCTAGCTTTATAGTTTAAAAACATATTAGAAATCATCTGATGTAATTTTTTTATGTTCTTCAAGTCTATGGAGAAAAGACAGTCCACACACACATCTACAGTATCTGAAAATGCAGACTAACACTATTACTTAGAAGAAATGTGCTAGTTTGTAAAGCTAAACAGTAATGTGAACATGTAAGACTTTACACAAAAGTATTCAAAAACACAGTGGAAGTCATTGTTTCTTTCAGTATATCCTCCTCTCTGTTCTTTTCGTCAGGCTTGCCTTTCTTCCACATGTTTTCTCAGCTTTTTTAAGTTTTCCAGCTTTCTAAGGTGTTTAACTCAACATTGTTATGGTTGTTACATTTTAAAAAATAACAATCGTAAAGTTATAAAAATAAGTGTGATTTTATATCATACCAAATATTGCAGGTTTCTGTAATTTTAAAAAATATTAAACAATTACTCCTTCAAGTTTAAAATTTCATATAGCTGTATTTGACCTTTGTAGGGTAGTACCATTTCTCACTCTACGTAGCTTCTTCATAGGGAAATTACCCTATTGTCAGAATCAGTCATGCATTTCTTGCATTTAAAGTTTTTTTTTCTCTATTGATGGATGTAACCTATATATATCAATATTTCAATGGAATTATAGGTTAAAATGGCATCATGGCTGTAAGACAGACAACTAGCATTAAAAAAAAATTCACTTGCAATTTGTGGCAAATTAATGCAGTGAGGATTATTGCAAATTATGGAATTGCTTCCAGCTGGATTACATAGCATAACATAGAGTTTGCATTAAGCTTTTTGTTTTCTGTCTACTATAGGAAAAAAATGAATGCAACACACAGCATTAATGAGTGGCTGTGTTATTCCCTTCTTTTAGATCACTCCAGTTCCAGGCACTCATCCACTTTTAGTTTTTGTCAATCCTAAAAGTGGTGGGAAACAAGGAGAAAGGTAAGGTTTGTTTTATTTTTTTTTCCTCTCTTTCTCTATTCCGATTGTATATGAAAAGAAATCCAACATTTTATACTTATATGCCTGATATTTGAACATCCCATTGCCCTGTTTAGAAGAGGTACACACTAGCATATAGTTAAAACTTCTGCAGTTAAAAACTAGAATGAGTTCTATACAGCTGTGTCATTTCACATCAGAAAAAGTAGCTAGATTCAGTTTATGGTTTTGTGTGATTTGCATGAAGATATGAGTTGCTATGTTGTGTATTATAACTTTGAAGTTATAACAGTTTTCTTTTAATCTCTGTAATGATGATGCAGACAGGCCAATAACTTAAAATGGAAACAGTATTCCATTTTCTTATGTATGACTTGCCTTTCAAAGGCTTAGTGAGTAGGCTCTCCAACCTCTCCGTCCCTACAGTGAAGAAGCTTTTTGTTTTCTGTAGATAGGAAGCATTCTAACAATTCAGTTAGAATATTAACGTCTAATCACACAAACTTTAAAGACATGCTTAATTTTATGTATGTTAGTAATTACATTGATTTAAATTCAGAATGTTTGTGTTTAAATGTTAGTGTGTCAGAGACATGATAAAACAGAGGTAAAGAGCATCCTCCTATTACTCTGTCCATCAAACTCAGGCAGACATGGTGCATTAGTTACCCCCTCAGCAGATTTTTCAGAGTGTACTTTAGAATCACAAGTGCTAACAATATGGCTGGTTTTGATCATCATGTAAATCCCCAAATTTTTATAGCCTAGTTTACCATGTCAGTGCTGTAATTTATCCTTCAAGTCTCGAAAAAGGTTACAGTCTTTTGGCCAAGATCAGACTGAAAATGACACCTGTGGATACTAGGGGTTGTGGGTACCCAAAAGCACAAAAGGAGGAATCCAGTGTGATTCCATAGCTTTG